CCTGATGTCATACAAAGAAGAATATATTTTTGAGAGGTAAGTCTGGTGATCAGCAAACCTGATAATAAACTGGACTGGATGTGGACATAATAGAATGTAGCCAGGTGGTTAAATTTATGAATGCATTTTTTTTAATTCAGAATAATGTCCACATACATGAACAACACTAGGGACAAGTATCAAAGCGATAGTTCACCCAAAAATAAATATTCTGCCATCATTTACTAACACTTATATCATTCCAAACTCACAAGACATTCATTCATCTTTGAAACACAAATGAAGATATTTTTAATGAAACTGATAGATTGGTCTCTCCACTGTTATAACACTTTGATGCTTTAAAAAGTTGATCAAAACATTGTAAAAGTAATCCATATGAATTTAGAGATTTAATCCAAGTCGTCTTGTTCTCACACGCCATGTATGAAGTTTGTTCTCACATGTCGCAAGCATGTTTGAGCCAAATGCAAGAACCAATGAGGTTTGTTCTCGCACGTCAAACTTGGCCGACTTTCCGATGTATGTGCGTTAATCAATGTTTGTATGTAAATAAAAGCCTTAATTAAATCTGTTCATAATATAAAGCAATGGTATACCTTCAGAAGACTGGAATGGATTAAACTGCTCAATGTTTTATGGATTGTTTTTATGAATTTTTTTTAAACATCAAACTTTAGGTGGAATGGACCTTCAACAGACAGAAATCTCACAGGTTTAATTAAAAAATATGTTCACTGAACGAAAGTCTTATTGGTTTGGAATACAATGAGGGTTAGTAATTGATGACAAAGTTTTTACGTTTGTTTGAATTATCCCCTTAAAGAAATGATATCAAGTAATTTGTGGTTTTATGTTCCCTTACAATCAGAAACCAAACTGTAATGTCTCACTATAGATTTCCTTACATCAAACTGTTCTAGATACTGATACTTGCACTAATACAATTATGATAAACACTTACTATCTATGTGACTGATAAACATGGCACTCAGCAGGGCCCATTCGTAGTATAACTTCCCACTCTCATGGTTTCCTTGGGAAACAAAGTGTTTTCCCAAGTCAAGAAGCACTAAAATAAAACTGAGTTCATGCTCTTCGTCCTCAAGCTCAGAGAACAGCTCCACTGACTGAGTGAGGTATTCCTCTGCCAATCTTTTTGCCTTGATTTGCAAACACATTAATCCAAAGTTGGCCAGTGCTATGGCCCAGTTACGTCTATCCTCAAACTCCTCGCATATCTCAATTGCAGCCCGGTAACTCTCAGTGGCCTGTCGGATGTCCGCTGAATGTCTGTATGAAATGGCCCGCATGTTGTAAACCACTCCTTCCAGCTGAGTAGTACAGTGCTCGGGAAGCGATGACAGCACAGCGTCTAGCACTTCCAGAGCTGTGCCGGGTTGCTGGTTGCAGATGTACAGCCACGCCAACCATAGGAGAGCAGCAGTAGTGTCTGACTGGCCGACGCTGGACATAACGCTGTGGTCGAGGACAGTGGACATGTAGCGAACAGCTCTGTCAGGCATGCCGTGGATATGGAAGAGCCAGGACAAGCATAGAGCGTGGATATGACCCAGCACAGGCTCCATGCTGGGGGACACTAAAGCAGCGGCACGGGTCAGGTATGGAGCCACTTGTGTTGGGACGGCCACTCCATACAGCTCTGATGCATTTTCCAACAATAGCGAGATACTGCAAAGACAGTGTGACACGGTGGCTCCTACCTGTGAAAGAGAATGGATGAATGCATAAATCAATTTATATAATTTGTTCATTTTTAAATTAAATTAATGAATTAAATATATTAATAATTGTATTAACTATTTAATTTATTGTTTAATTAAACAAAATGTAATAATAATCATTGTAATAATAATCGTAATTATAATGTCATTTTTCATGTTATTTTATTATTTAAATACGATTTTTTTTATTTAATTTTTGCTGTGACACAGTGCTGCTGCCTGTGAAAGAGAATGGATAAATGGACAAATCCTTTCTTTTTTAATTTAATGAACTTATTTCATTTTTTCATTCATTTATCTTATTTTTTTATTTAGTTAATGTATCTATTAAATCATTTTTTTATTAAATTACAAATTATTAAATACATTTAATTATAAAACAATTAACCTATTATTATAAATAAATGTATGTTTTATTTAATATATATATATATACAGTGGTGGCCAAACTTATTAGAACACTAGTATTTTCACCAGCTAAAAAAATGGTTTAAGTCAGTTATTTAGTGTGTCAGTAGGAAATATGAGTTTACATTTCCAAACATTCATTTTGTCATTAATCGTAATAATCCAGTGAGATTTTTGTTTGCACGAGGAGTCTGACAACAGCCAGTGCTCCACACAGAGATCTGATCTGATCATCATCCAGTCTGTCTGGAATGACGTGAAGAAACAGAACAAACTGAGACAGACTAAATCCAGAAGAACTGTGGCAACATCTCCAAGATGCTTCAAGAGACCTACCTTTAAAGCTACAGTACTTTTAAAAGTTTTAGGGACTTGTGTAAAAATGCTGTAAAATGAAGATGCTGTCAAAAATAATGTCATAAATTGATTTCTTTATCAAATAACGTCTATTAACTAAATTAAATCAACATTTGGTGTTTAAAGCAGCTTTTGCTCTAGGTCAGGGGTGTCAAGCTCAGTTCCTGGAAGGCCACAGCCCTGCACAGTTTAGATGCAACCCTAATTAAACACACCTGATCCAGCCTAGGTGCACTTGTGCATAGTTTTTCAGGTAGCTTTGCAGGTAGGTCACTTGAAGCATCTTGGAGATGTTGCCACAGTTCTGGATTTAGTCAGTCTCAAATTGTTCTGTTTAAGCACAACAACAATTCAGAAAATATTATAACAAGTCAGAAAACACAATGACAAATCCGAAAACAAATTTACAAGTCAGAAAACACAACGACAAATCCGAAAACAAATTAACAAGTCGGAAAACACAACGACAAATCAGACAAACCGGAAAAGGTAGGTATAGTTTGAGACCGCGCCATTGGTTTGGGATTACTCACCGCTGACTGGATGAGACATCTGTCAATCAATGTATACAGAGAAGAACATTTAGTTAAAAGTGGCTGTAAATCATTACCTCAAGTGACGCAGATGGATAAGCGCGTGTCCTTGGCTTTTTGACGCGATCGACCCGGGTTCGATCCCGCCTTTTGCCGAACTTTTTTTTCCTCCCTTTTCAAATCTCGTATTAGCAATGGATTCTATTTACACTAAGTGAAAATAGCAGTATTTTTAGCAATATGCTATTTACACTAAGTGCAAATACCTATTTACACTATGTTAAAATAGCAGGATTTCAGTGCTGTAGCTTTGCAGATAGGTTTCTTGAAGCATCTTGGAGATGTTTCCACAGTTCTTCTGGATTTAGTCTGTCTCAGTTTGTTCTGTTTCTTCATGTCATTCCAGACAGACTGGATGATGATCAGATCAGATCTCTGTGTGGAGCACTGGCTGTTGTCAGACTCCTCGTGCAAACTAAAATCTCACTGGATTATTACAATTAATGGCAAAATGAATGTTTGGAAATGTAAACTGATATTTCCTACTGACACACTCCTACTAAGTGCTTCCTGAAACCACTATCAAGGTATAGCACCCACCTGAAGTGATGCTCGCTTTGCACAGCTTTCAGCCAAACGTGGCTGTCTCTGGTCACTGTAGAGTCTTGCTAACACCAGGAAAACTTGGCTCAATGTCTCATCACATGCGTCAGGAACTTCATCAGCAATGATCAAAAGCCTTTCAATGAATGGGATTGCACTCATGCCGTCTTTAAGCTTCAGGTGGAGCTTTGCCAGGAGGAAGCAGGCCCGTGCCTCAGCAGGCTGATTCTTAGCCAGGACGGCTTTTTTTAGTACATATTTTAATACCTCAGGATCCTCACAGCCAAACAAACAATCAGGCACAGCCATCAACAAGGCAGACAAGCGCTCTGAAAAACTGACACATTTTTCGTGGTTCTTCTGTGTTAGGTAGATGAGTGCCAGGTTGGAGTAAATGGCAGAGAGCAGAAACATGTCTGTGAAACAGTCCCTGGGTACATTCAAGGCTTCCTCATAATAAACCCGAGCTTGAGAGAACTTTGACCTCCCTGCACAAAGCTGTCCAAGAAGAAAACAAATTCGACTCTGCGCCCAAGAGACATGCTTCTTTCGTGCCAGTTCTCGGGCTACGCCTAAATACGCCACTATCTCCTCTTCATCAGAGTGACCCTCGAAATGTGAGATGAGGAATTCTGGGTAAGCGCTGTACAAAAGCAGGAACTCCGGCTGGTGGTCACGGCTGCTCAAGAATGAAAGCATTGCATGATGTTCATCTGGACTGGTGTTGTCCTGCTCTAAGCAGACAGAAAACCGTGGGATTTCCCGGGACGACTCCGTATCATCCGCTTCTTTCTTCATCTGTTGCTTGCTGCTGACTGATGAAACATCATTTCTTTGAGACTCATCTACCTCACTCAAAATGTGTTTGACTTTCTGTTTTAGGTTGTTTAATTCTGTCTGACGAGTCTTGCCTGGAGACAAAGAATAAACTAATAAATAAATGTGTTTAAATAAAATAGAAATAAACAGATCATTATTTTAATTAGCCCATCCTAAGCATCAATCTAGACATTAGTCATTTAAATATACAAAAATGACTCTTTACACATATAAAATTCTATTAAATAATTAGTAATAGTTAGTTTCATTTTATTTGCTCTGAATGAACAAACAAATAATAGACAGACAGACAGACAGATAGATAGATAGATAGATAGATAGATAGATAGATAGATAGATATTTACTCACTTTGAACTGATCCTGGAATTTCTTTAGCTAGATCTGTGGTATGTAAAACAAATAAAAAAACGTTTAAAACAGAGAGAAGAAAGAATTAAGAAATGTAAACACAAATATTTAAATCAAGTCATGTTTCCTGTGATGCTGGTTCATTTCCGTGCGCTTTAGCGCCTCAAGTGGCCTAATAATGTAAATCGCGTCAGGTGCTTTAGAACTACACGGCAGAACATACAACAGTAAGGTCCAATCTTTGTAAATTCAAAACTGTTGTGGCCCTGTGCTGACTGTCTGTAATTTACGTGAAAATATAACCCACAAACACAGTAACCCGCGCAATCTTAAGTATTATTTCTGTCTACCGTTACGAAAGCGTTGTTTTTATGAGCACCGCGATTTGTAGACGACCGTATTAGTGATAACGACGTTCTGTTTTAGCATTTAAATCCGCTGGACAGTGACTGAGAAAGATGCCGAAGAAAGGCACGAAGCCCGTTTTTACAGCTCCACGATGGGAAGAAGTTCAAGGTAAAACGCAGCTAGTGCTGATTGAGCGCCAATAACATCAGCACTAAATAAGACAGCGGTTTATATTATTTTACAGTTGCTTTTATTATTACCGGTTTTACAGATTTCTGCAACCCTGACAAACTGCTGTTGTGCCCCTATGACCCACATCATCTGATCCGGGCCTGTCGGTTCCCATACCATCTCATCAAATGCAGGAAGGTGCGTGTGCAGAAGCCTCCACAACAAAAATCCCTCTTACTTCTTCTTAATTTAGGCTATTCATCCCCACACTGTTCTGTTATGAGCTATTATCAGTTCTTAACCAGTAAACATTCAATGGGGCCACAAGATTACTTACAATTATTTAAAGTTTTTAAAGTAACTTAATTAAAATGCTATAAAAAAAACTGCTAGTAGTCCAGATGTAACTTAGGCCTACAAAATGTACTGTAAATGGTCCACTTGAGAGAAAATAGGCAAATCTGTAATTTGACAGCTATAGTAAGACATCTGCCTTACAAGCATTTCAGTGATTCAGCAGCTATTTTAAATTTAATAAATATAATAAATAGTAAATTTAGTCTTAAAGGGGTCATATGATGCGATTTCAAATTTTCCTTTCTCTTTGAAGTGTTACAAGCTCTTGGTGCATAAAGAAGATCTGTAAAGTTGCAAAGACTAAAGTCTCAAATCCAAAGAGATATTCTTTATAAAAGTTAAGAGTCAACCACGCCTACCTAAAACGGCTCGTTCGAACACGCACCCACATGTCTACGTCACGATGTGGGAAGATTTGCATAACACCGCCCAAATGTTCACGCAAAGAAAGAAGACGTAACTTTTATTCTCGCTGTAGTATTGTTGACGCTGCAAGTAATGCTTGTTACATACTATTGACCCAGTACTGACACATATTATTTATTAGGTGGTTGGCTTTGTTTATTAATTTTTGTTTCTTTGTTTGTTTGTAATCAAAGATAAAGTACACGTTATATTTGTGTGTCGAAGATAAGGCTTTATTTTTGACAAAAGCTTGGTGTTCAGTTTAATAAGATTTAAAAA